AAACCCCCCCCCCCCCCCCCCAAATGAGTTGTAACCGGTTCCGTTCCAAAATGACACATTTGCTATTAGTCAGCTCTTTTTCCTAAATAACTTAGTTTCCATAAAACAGGAAAACAACATCTGTTAGGACTCCTTGTTTTATAACAAGGAGTTATCTATCTACTTTACTTTTCACAAAATGGAGTGTAATGCCAGATAGCACGGCACAGAACAGGCAGAAGCAGACTGAAATCTCAAATATTCCTACTGGGGTATTCACTATATATTTGATAGTATTCTTATTGACTTTCCAGTTATACAGCTGTCAGTGACTGGAGTGGAAAATAAAACTTATAGGAACTGGTCATTATATCTACATAAATATATGTAAGTATAAGTTAAAAATAGGCTAAATTACAGTGTGCATCACAAACTACAAGATTCATATTATAACAGTACTGGCCAATACTGCTGAGCGTTTGGTTAAAAACTGTAGAGGAAAGATGCACAGTTCAATTTATAATTGCCTCTCCATGGGAAACACCCATTGCCTGAGATTTCTTTGAAGTAATCCTATGTAGAGCAATCCTTTATCCCATCCATAGCAGTTTTTCACTCACTGATCTCCCTAGGCTTTGCAAAAGAAAGTGTTTTGATCCCACTGTAGCAGGGAGGAAAACTAAGATGAAGTTGCCTCTTCCAAAGCTTGAGGAAAATGGCAAGGGAGGATGAAAAGCAAAAGGATTTTACACCAGTGGCAATCTTGGTTCTGAGATTTAAAGTCTGTAATACTGCCAGCTTCTCAGCTAGAGGGTCCCAGAGTCTGGGAAGGCATGAGGCTGCTGGGCTCCACTGCCCTGGCTTTGGGATAGGCTGCACCTGACGAAGATGTTGCACATAAGTGCTCTTCCTTGCCCTTTCCTTGCCACCCCCATGGTGGGGTTGGGGGGATATCATTCATACGTGCTAGGGCACAAGGCAGAGGATGCCACTCTCCTTGTGCACTGATCCATCTCTTCCCGGCACTCAAGGGACTCGCTAATGGCATGCAGAGAAACTGGAGCTGCTTTCCCCCCCTGCCTTAGATGTGTGGCTCAGGCTCTGAGCTGCCTTTGGAGCTGTGTCTGCAACACGTTGCACTTCAACTAATTCCCTAACATAAATCTTGGAAAGGCTTTCTAACTTGGAAGCAGCAGTGTGCAAATGTGGCCGTGCTGATTCCAGACTTTCACTGCTAATGAAGTCTTCCTGTGCTGCTTGCTTTTTAGAGACTTCCCTGCTTAGACCTTTAGTAGATGAAAAATTTCTTCTATATTCATTATATAGTGTAGATATATGCTAAATATGTCATACCCGCAGGGTGAAATGACAGCACTGAACAATCAGAGGCTAACATAGTATACGTTAACTTCCCCACTTAGTGTCTGCAGTAGGGAGTCTGACACCTAATTAGTGCAAAACCCGCCAGTCTCGCTAACCTGTGGTCACCCCTATTGCTAATATCACTTCAGCTGATCAGCTGTTAGCAATGGTGGGATATTATATTTACAACTATTACAAAATTGCAACTTCCTGCAAATCCAAAGTGACAACTGCTTACAAAGGTCCCTCATATCCGTACAGGAGAACCTGATCCTTTGAGAAAAAGTGATAATGTCGTCTATTGCACATCTCATGTTAAAAGATGAGGGGATTCAGGTTGTAGTAGTTTCTCCTGGGCATAATGCTATTCAGGATTTATAAATTCAAGAGGTCCTTGGCTAAAGGGACACAGACCCTCAAATTATCAGTAGGCTTAAATTGTGTTTGCAGTAAGCAGTACAAAACACTGAGTATTCATGTGTTCTGTTACTCCAGACTTGGTGTTGATTCAGCTGTGCCCGTTGCTGACTGATTTCTGTTGGAATCGCTGAATTATTTTTACAGTGCAGACGTGATTAAATGTGTGTTAAAAAGGAAGCAGAGACAGTGACACTGAGCAGCAGAAGTGATTTCTGCTCAAAGCAGAAGAATACGAATGCTGGGAAGAGAGGGGCAGTATTATAGAGGCTAAAACAATGTGACTGATCCATTCCTTTTAGGAATGAAGAAAAAAGCATAAATCTGGCTTTCAAAATATAGTTAATGTTTCTCTAGAAGAACTTAATAGTTTAACAACATGATGGGCATTTCATGAAAGGTGTGGGCTCAGGCTGAAAACCGAAACATTTCTCAGCCGAACATTTCTTAGGGAAAAATCTTCCCATCAAAAAAATCTGTAGCCGCCAACACACCCTGCAGAAGATACACATGGAAGACAGGAACTGGGAATTATGGAGAAGCACATATTTGATAATGAGAAAGTTCTTCATTCTAGAATCTTCTTTGATTTTGAAATGCTCTAGTTAGGAAAACATGGTTGCTTCCCCCTGCCCCCACCGTCTAAATGTAAAATAATATATGTAAATTAATAATGTAATAAATGTAAAATAATAAATGTAAATTAATTTAAAGAACATTTCGTTTCCTTTCTAAAATCACCAAGTGTGGTAAATTATATTTTTCTTGTTCACCCTCAGAGTGCCCTATGCTTAACTAATACTACAGTGTATTGAGGCATGTAGGACTAGGCACTAGTTACAGAACATCACAGTGCTGCTGTGAGCTTTTTTTGTTAACCCAGATAGTTGGTTCTCTGTGGTTACTTGTAGCAACTGTACAGACAGACATGGCATGGTTTCTCCTTACCAGCTCATTGCTGCCATCCTCATCAAAATCCTCCTCTATCCCATCAGTCATCTCTTCTCCATCCCCATCTGCATCTGGCCCTCCTTCAATTGGCTCTTCTGTAGAGTTATCTGCATTCTCTGATATGCACTCCTCTTGAATCAAATCAGCATTATCTTCCATTTGTTTCTTTTGAGCTTCTGTAAGGAAAACATACTCTATAGAGATTCAGTAGCCTTCCCTATTGGTGGCAAAGAAAAGTGCTCTGAGGAAGAAACCTAAGCTTCCCATCTCCAGATAAGCTAGCGTTATAAAAATCAGTGTGTTAATATCTACCAGGCAAATATGATCAAACTCCTTGTTTTCAAAAATTAACGCATAAATCAACCATAGTAGCAACATGCTCATCTATCCCATGCAGTGGATGAAGCTTTGATTTACCAGCGGCTCCAGATTTTTCATTATCTAGACTTTGTTTTGCCTTGGGAATCCAGTTGGCATAGTCACAACATATTTATTTATCTGCAGCCAATGAGAAGTACATAAATCTCTATACTCTGAGAAGCAGAAGGCTGTTAATTGCCAATAAGTGAACAAGGATACGCATAAATTTGCTGTGAATATAGCTCATACAGATAATCAACAAATCCTTCTAGACAACTGAACGTATTTTTTGTGGAGTAAAGTAACAGTGTCTCCCTGTTGGTATAATGTGCTGAGGTAACTGGAGAATGCCTCCCTCCAATTACCCAAATATAGTGTTTCCTATAATTTCCACAAAGCAGTGAAAAGAAAGACCGTTTCTACAGAGGCCCAGAGGATCTGTTCTGGTTGGCTTAGTGCAGATAGCTGCACTGTTGTGATTATGTATTGCGAGTCTCCTGGATATGCTGAGGAATTTAATCCAGCCAGCAGAAATCCAGAGGAGGACTGAGGGAGGAATGACAGAGACAGACCAGCCAGAAGAACGGTTGGAGGGATCAGACTCTTATTCCTATGCACATCAGGAGTTTAGATGAAAATCTTTATGTACCCCAAGTGAATATGGGCCCGAGAATTGGTTGCACATAGCTGGAATACCAATGTCTTTTCAGTCTGAGGGTGACAATACCCATCAATGAGTAAATTTCTAGAACAAAACCGTTTTTTCTTTGTTAGATTGACTGTTCTGTAACATCACCTATCTCGGACAGCCAGTGAATCTGCAGCTTGCCTGTGAAGCTCAATATTTTTCAGCTCTATGAATATATTATTGTTTTACTATAAATTATTACCAGCTGCATATAATATTCAAACCTGTTCATACTTTTCTGTATCATGGTCTTAAACCAAGACATTTGTTTTTCCTTCTAGTTCTGCACATTTAGTTTGCAACTTACTTTCATCTCTTTAGTCTTTGTTAGTCTCTATTCCCTCATTTTCAAATTAATTGACTTAAACCAGCACAACTAAGCTTTTCTCCCTTAGTTATGTAATTTCTTTAGAAAGATTCTTGGATTTAAAGAATAAAAAGTCATCTTAGATAACTGCTTTGACAGTACTGTAGTTACACATATTAGTAGAAGATTCAGCCTTTGGAGCCTAATCATCTATAGGTAAGGTGCTCTATACAATACCGTGCTAGCTATAAGTCATTGTGTTACTTTCCTTACTGTGCAGGGAACTGTGGATTGAATCAGCTATGCCTACTAAGTCCTGTCCCACCACCCTCTGCCTCACGCCGCTTCTGAGATTAACACAGCTGTGACAGTGACAACTGAGCCAAATTTGGTCAAGGCTTTCAAAGCAGGTTGCTGAAATTATGGGCTTAATTCATTTAAATGGGAAAACTTTTAGGATACAGCTGCTAAAAAATTGGGTCACTTACTTAATTGTCTGAATGAGAATGTAGTCTGGGTTCTTCAGGGGAGTCTAAAGTACCACCTCAGCATCTAACTCTTTTGGGCTTTTCTGAGAAGCTAAACTTAAGATCTTACCTTTCGGCACCCATCTCTGATATTACAGGGAGAATATTGTCCCCTAACATTTTTTTTCACATCAGAACAGCTTCTTATTCCTGCCTTCCTGATTCAGATTTTTACAAACAAAGGAGCTATTCCTGCAGTTTCCCTATGTACAGGAAATCTTTGTATCTATATTTCCCCTATTGGAGAGGTGAGGGGTTGATAAGAGTAAAACATCAGCTGTTACTATAAGGAGTTTTCACGCAGCTATCGAGCAGTAACCAATGTATGCACTGAGCTTGTCCAGCTTGTCTGTTTAAACGATCACATTCCTCCATGTATAACTCCAAGTATAAATTTTAAGATTAATAATTCAATATTTTTTCATGAAAGTGATGCCAATTTAAAAAAAACAAAAGGGCAAGATGATGGCTTCATTTTTCTTCTCTTGTAAATGAAACATAGATCCTCTCTTTGATTCCAGTCTTAGCGAGGCCACACCTTCTGGCAGAGGAACATAAGAAATAATATTGCCAAACCATAGAGAAGGAACAAAATCATCTCACATCTGACACCATAAATGAAATAGTTCAGCTACTGATGTAGCTTTATCTTACACAAATCTTTTAGCTGAGGAAGCAATCATCTGCAGACTAATCACCCAGGCTGCATAACCCTCTTCATCAGCTCAGGAGACTTAAATGGGGATCCGGGTTTACTGGTATCTCTGAGGTGTTTTTTCTCCTCACATCCACTGATGAAAGCAAGGAATATGGAGGGTGGGTTTTGCACCTGATGTTTTGAAACATCAACAATTTGAAACCAGTTTTTAATCTCTGAGGATATTATTCATTGCTTGCCTTCAAAAACCATAACAGTATGATTCAATACAAATCAACATTTTCCTCTTTGAGCTGATTTTTATTTAAATGAGTTCACTACAGTTCTTTAGCAAAAGTGAAAATTGGATATCAAACTACAATGACATGCAGGTTGTTTTGCATAGTAATGACTTTTATATAAAAGCTCCCTGAAGTAGGGATGCACCATCTCAGAGCATTTCAGTACACAAGTGATTCAATGGAGTGCCTTGCAATTACCTCTTCGTTGATTATACCAACTTTTGTCTAACTTGCATAAAGTACAAAATAGAAGCTAACGAATACATATTGTGTACAGTTCTCCTGAAGGAGATAATCACGCTCTGTACTAATGGTTTACCTTAGACTTGGAAAAAAGCACTCAACTTATTTTGTGCGGTAAACTACAACAGCTGAGGGATTGGTCCTTGTCTGTCAACTTGGAAAATGATTGTAAATAGAAGGTAGTTCGTTTTAAAAAGCTGGGTTTTCTTGGGGTTTTTTTGTTTGTTTGTTTGTTTTAAATTGTTAACCACAAAATATTTTTCTGTAGCGTTCTGCCCTGAAAGACATTTGCTAAAGTTATTTCTGAATGCCAACATGAAAATTCTGGGTTCAGAGGGATAACCCCTCAACAGATCAGCAAACAGGGCAGACACTTGGGAACAGGAGAAATCCAGATCTAAACATCTATTTTGCCTGTGTCAGGTTCATGAGCCTCAAGTGCTAATTCTCACCAAAGTTTTAGATAATCTTCATGGAGCTCTCTTTATGTGTCCTGTTGGGTCTTTTTGGCTTCACATAACTGATTTGAGTTAGGCAAGGGACACAAATCTGAGTGTCCAGACACGCAGGCAGCTGCGGATTCTGAGGCACAATTTCTTTCACACATTTCACACAAAATACATTAAAGGTTTTCATCAGAGTAGGGGGTGGGGTGGGGGAACGTTGAGAATTTTCATGAGATAAGGCTTCCATTTCCCCACTGGCTGTCATCAAAACCAGCTGGCTAGTACACAGCTCCTGCACAGAGATATACCATGTGATTTATAAGGAAACAGCCAAGGAAATGCCATAGACAGTGGTAAGAATTGAGATTGTTTTCTATATATACTGTGGTGACAATACAACCTTATAAATCCCATGTAACTGTTCAGCATGGCTTTAAAGTGCTGCCAAATGAGATCATTCAGCTAATGATTAAATTAAAAAATAGTGTTAGATTTTTTCATTCCCAAGGCTTGCCTCGAAACAAAATGTTTCAAGCCAGAGAAAAGCTCAACTAGAGGTGCGGCCGGTTTTATAGAGACGCCACAGCTTCACTCAACAGCTCAGGTTGGAAGGGATCTCTGGACTCTCCAAGTCCAAACCCTCTTCAAAGCAGAGCCAAACTCAAAGTTTGGTCCAGGTTCATGGGGCCTTGGCTCAATGAGTGTTGAATGTCTCCAAGGATGGAGCTACTAAAGTTTCTCTGGGCAACCCGCTATATGGTGCAGTTGCATCTCTTTTCCTGGTATCAATTAGGAATTTCCCTTGCTGCAATTTGTGACTATTGCCTATTGCCCAGGCAATAATTCCTGACATAGAATATCTAGTAATTCTTAATATGGGTAGCAGAAACACCCCCAAGGTCAACCACCTCTACCTTAATTCTGTTTAGTCACTTTTTTAGTGATGTTTTGTCTCCAGAAACATCTAGTAAGAATCTTTTATTTTCTTTTTTATTCTCTACTACACCATAGAAAACAATTCTTGAAACGATATTGCATGCTCTGTGAAGAATATTAATTTATCCTCCCAATAGTTCCACCTGAGAGTTAATTTACCTTGCTTCAGGCCTCCATTATGTAGCAGAATTTCTGGAAGGCTTCCATTCTCTCTGGTCTGTCTGCTTGACTGATAACTAGATTCTAATTTAGTTTATTTGACTACAAATTGCTTTTACCTACCTGCTTCAGCTTTTTGCTGCTTTTCAATCTTTTCCAGTCTCCCTAGCAAGGAGTCAATTTTTGTTTTGATTTGGGTTAATTCCTTCTTGATTGTTTGCAACTCATCTGATTTCACTGTGGAAAGAGAGCAAAGATGCAAAACATGAAATAAACTGTATTTGCAGCCCCCCAAGAAAAATACGTTCTTTTTTCTTTCCTCTGTAGTACAAAGTCTACTCTCTCATTTCTGTCAGTATTTTTAGAGATCTAACTTTTAAAATGAACGTTGTCTGTTAAAAATGCTGAATCCATCCTAGGAATTCACAGAATTCTAAGACAAGAGGTTATGTGAGGTGTGTTGCTCTGTAATAAGCATTTCAGGCAAAACTTCTCATGGGCGTTCTTAGTAAATCCAAATAACTTTTACTGACAAACAGCCTATAGTGAAAGAATGATTCAGATATGACAGACAGTTCACAGTCTTGTAAGGTTATTTTGCTGGACTATTTTGTAATAATAGTGACAATAATAAAAAGATCCCTCACAGTAGCAGTAGGTATTTTTCAACAAGAGTGAATGGTAACATAAATGCTAGAGCAGTCAGGATTGCAATGTTATGTTCCAGTCAACAACTTCACTGCAATAGGTGTTAAGTATTATTGCTTAAAAAAGCTTTCAGTTCTGGTAATTTCTTGTACTTTTTCCAGTTAACATATGAAAATATTTCTTTTTATGATCACATCCAGGGACATGGAGACAACACCTATAAATGAAGAGCTGAACTTTCCTTTGTTGCATTGCATTACTCTTCAGGAAAATTAGAAGGGCCAAAGCTCAATCAGAACTCAGCTTGGCCACTGCAGTTAAAGACAATAAGAAGAGATTCTTTCAGTATATCAATAGGAAAAGGAAGACTAGGGAAAATGTAGGCCCACTGATGAATGAGATGGGTGCTCTTGTGGTGGAAGACACAGAGAAGGCAGAGTTACTGAATGCCTTCTTTTGTTCAGTCTTCACTGCTAAAGCTGTCCCTCACGAATCCCATACCCTGGAGGCAAGGGGGAAGGTCTGGAGGGAGGAAGATTTCCCCTCAGTTGAGGAGGACCAGGTCAGAGACCACTTGGCCAGTCCTCGGGAGACCCAGACTTTGCAGGCAACCGAGAAAGTCTGGGGGAAGCAAGACTATCCCTTGGTTGATGAGGAGCACGTTAGAGATCAGTTAGATAAACTGGATATACACAAATCCATGGGGCCTGATGGGATGCACCCTCCGGTGCTGAGGGAGCTGGGGGAAGTCATTGCTGGGCCGCTCTCCATCATCTTTGAAAGGTCCTGGAGGACAGGTGAGGTGCCTGGGGACTGGAGGATAGCCAGTGTCACTCCAGTCTTCAAAAAGGGCAGGAAGGATGACCCAGGAAACTACAGGCCGGTCAGCCTCACCTCCATCCCTGGAAAGATGATGGAACAGCTTGTTCTGGGTACCATCTCAAAGCACCTGGATGAAAAGAAGATTATCAGAAATAGTCAACATGGATTCACCAAGGGGAAGTCATGTCTGACTAATCTGATAGCATTCTATGACAAAGTGACTAGATGGGTGGATGAGGGGAGGGCAGTGGATGTTGTCTACCTTGACTTTGGCAAGGCTTTCGACACCGTCTCCCACATCATCCTCACAGGCAAGCTTAGGAAGGGTGGGTTAGATGAATGGACAGTGAGGTGGATTGAGAACTGGCTTACAGATAGAGCTCAGAGGGTTGTGGTTAGTGGCGCAGAGTCTAGTTGGAGGTTAGTAACAAGTGGTGTCCCTCAGGGGTCAGTACTGGGCCCAGTTTTGTTCAACATATTCATCAATGATCTGGATGAAGGGATAGAGTGTACCATCAGCAAGTTTGCTGATGACACAAAACTGGGAGGAGTGGCTGACACGCCAGAAGGCTGTGCTGCCTTACAGCGTGACCTCGCCAGGCTGGAGAGTTGGGCAGAAAGAAACCTTATGAAGTTCAACAAGGGTAAGTGTAGGGTACTGCACCTGGGGAGGAATAACCCCATGCACCAGTACAGGTTGGGGGCTGACCTCCTGGAGAGCAGCTCTGTGGAGAGGGACCTGGGAGTCCTGGTGGACAACAGGATGACCATGAGCCAGCAATGTGCCCTGGCGGCCAAGAAGGCGAATGGCATCCTGGGGTGCATCAAGAAGAGTGTGGCCAGCAGGTCGAGGGAGGTCATCCTCCCCCTCTACTCTGCCCTGGTGAGACCGCATCTGGAGTACTGTGTCCAGTTCTGGGCTCCCCAGTTCAAGAAAGACAGGGAACTGCTGGAGAGGGTCCAGCAAAGGGCAACAAAGATGATTAGGGGACTGGAGCACCTTTCTTATGAGGAAAGGCTGAGGGACTTGGGTCTCTTTAGTCTAGAGAAAAGAAGATTGAGGGGGGATCTTATTAATACATACAAATACTTAATGGGAGGATGCCAGGGGGATGGGAGTAGTCTTTTTTCAGTGGCACCCAGTGATAGGACGAGGGGTAATGGGCATAAACTTGAACATAGGAAGTTCCATCTTAACATGAGAAGGAACTTCTTTACTTTGAGGGTAGTGGAGCCTGGATGCTGTCCTGTGCAACCTGCTGTAGGTGACCCTGCTCTGGCAGGGAGGGGTTGGACTAGATGATCTCCAGAGGTCCCTTCCAACCCTGACCATTCTGTGATTCTGTGATTCTGTGTGATTTATGTTCATTATTGCACTCCCATTGTCTAATGTAAGAAGGTGTAGCTGCTTTGGAGGTATTTTGGCTTCAGAAGAAACAGCACTGTAGCACTCGTGAATGACCTCATTATTATGGCGTTATCAGGAGATGTTTTTATGCTCAGTAGATAGTCCAAAAAAATCCAGTTCCCCTGTCTATCCTAGGATATCGTATTGAAAAAGCTTAGAGGAGAAAACGGGAATCCTCTGCTATCATGGGAGAATAAAGCCATTTATGAAGGTCAAGAGTAGAAAACACAGCTGTCTCTTACAACTCTTGTAAGGAAGAAATGGGCCATCACCTTAAGCTGTGAGGGACAGGCAATGGAAGGGCACTGAGCAGTATTATTCCTCTACCCTTATCGTGGAATAGGAGGGCCCTTAGTGAGCCTGCAAAAAGGGTCTCCTGGCTGCATCTGGCCATATCAGTCCCACCCGTTGACTCTTGGGCATGTATGTCATCATAGTTTCTCATGGGTATTTTTTATTGGACAGTCAAAACCTGAGGATGAATTGTCCAGGCAAACTGCTGCCTGCTTTAGTGGTAGTAAATGAGTATGTGTTTGCTTCAAAATCAGCCTTATTGCAAACTTGCAGCACGTTCACTGAGGTTGAAACCAGGACTTTTTATCTTAGGCTTCGAGTCATTAGTTAGAGCAAGCCAGCTCAAGATAGTAGGTTGCTATATGTGGTAATGAACTTGTTTAATCATGTGCTCATATTGAGAAATTGCACATCTCACACTGAAGGCTGAAACCTCTGATGTCATATTGAATGAATGGCAGGACTTAGAGATCAAAGCTTAAAGGTAACCTTTGTGCTAGACTCCTATATGATATACAGTATTTGATGGAATTAATTTGTATGTTTATAGAGCAAGGCCTTAAAATGTTCTTAGAGAAATAACGGGTCACTGTCCAATCCTCCAGATCTGTAACAAAAAGTTAAGATTCTGACAACTGTATATTTAGAAGGTTACTGCTTCCCTGGGGGTGGTGGTTGGTCTGGACTGGAGTAGCAAGGCAGAGCAGATTCCAGGATGAAATGTTGTGAATCTGTCCAACGGGAAATCCTGAGTGTCTAAAGCAATCCGCTATGAAGCCAACAGGCTACAGAACCTGTGCAGCTAAGCTGTTGGGTCACAGGTGCTCCCTTGACTGGCAAACAGCAGGCTTGCCAAGGCTAAAAGGTCAGAAGTCAGAAGCGAATCCATAAGGACCTAATGATATTTGTTCCCAGTCTAAAAAGCAAAGCAGAAAACATTTGCACTTCTGAATTTGGTGAGGAAGCAAGTACATAGATGGGGCTACTGTTCAACTCAGGTCAAACCTTCTGCTTCACAAGGGCTTCCCTGTGGTGTCTCAGTGAGAAAACAGTTTCAGAAGAAGACTACACCAGAGGGAACACAGATACAACAGTGAAGATTCAACAGCATACAAAGAGGCTAGAAATGACTGAGGAGCTTTATTGCTACCTTGCAAAATTCCCCTATGCCAAAGCTATTTCCTCAAGCTTTGGTCACTTAATCTGCAATTTATCATTCACACTTAATGAGTTGATTCCATCATATAGTCGAGCACTTCAGGTTAACACTAAAAAGGACCAAAAGAAAGAAGGGGAAAAATTTTCAACAGGTCTGCACGAGTTCCAAATTTCCACCCTGGTTCCAACATTGCAATGGTGTAGTTATTTGAATTGCTTGTTGTCTTAATTTGCAGGGAAAGGTAAAAATCTTCAAAATCATTCTCTTAGAGAAATTACCCTCTCAGTTATTTTGTACTGGTATTTCCATAGTGAGAGGCAATTACTAAAGATAAATTATGAAGGATTCTGATGAACAACATGCAGAACATGAGCCACCAATGCACCCTTGTGATAAAGCAGGCCATCAGCATCCTGGGCTGCATTAGGAGGAGTGTTGCCAGCAATTTGAGGGAGATGATCCTTCCCCACTACTCAGCACACTGGTGAGGCCACATCTGGAGTACTGTGTCCAGTTCTGGGCTCCCTAGTACAAGAGGAAATGAAGAGGACAAAGCCAGACTGTTTTCAGTAGTGCCCACTAACACGTCAAAGACCATTGGCACAAATTAAAGCACATTGAATTCCATCTAAAAACAAGAAAAATCTTTTTTTTTCTTTTTTCCTTCTTTATTTTTCCCATGAGGTGGTGAAACACTTGCACAGGTGGCCCAGAGAGGCTGTGGAGTCTCCATCCTTGGAGATATTCAAAAGATGCCTGGACACAGTCCTCTGAAACCTGCTCTAAGAGACCCTGTTTGAGCAGGACAGTTGGAGCAGATGAGCTCCAGAGGTCCCTTCCAACCTCAAACATTCTGTGATTCTGTGATTCTGTGGTGTAGAACTTGGGAAGAACTTTTTAAGCACAGTGTTGAAAAAGACAAAATGTAAAGGGTGTAAATACTGTACTTCAGGTATCCTGCTTTAAGTATATAATTTCTCTTTTAAAGCTTCACAGATTTTTCAGAAAGGAACACAGAAAGGAACACAGCAGTTGATAAACATGAAACCAGAGATGCATCTGTCCAAAATATCTGCTTTTGAGTAATAGAATAGGAAAATAAAGCAGCTTACTGCTTTTTTTTTTTTTTTTTTTCTTTTTCTATTAGCAGACAAGCAAAGGCCAGCAAGTGACAGAAATGCATGCATTGAAAGGGAAAGAAATTACTAATGAAATTCCTCAAGCACTGGCACCAAAATGGCTAAATATCTTCAACAATGTTGATACAAAGAAGTAAATAAACAGGTGAAATTTGCTGAAGACATGAAATTAGAAAGTATCATCTATTCAGAGGGGGAGTCAGGGGATTTTAAAGAATGCTACATTAGAAAAAAGATGAAATGGAAAAAGTCCTACACTTGATTGACTAACAGCAGAACTCCTATTCTTAACATGGAAGCTCATCAGAGGAAAAAGACAGTGACAGAATTATCCTTGGGTGTAGCTGTAATCTCAGGTTGACAATAGCCTATCACTATAATGCAGCCATGAGAAAGAAAATGCGGTGCCAGGATGTGTCAAATGACGTATTGCTAAAGATGGGGAAGTACCGTGCCGTTGTACAAGGACCACCTGGTCCTCATCTGGAACACTGTGTACAGGTCGAACATTCTAGCAGATTTGAATTCTAGCAGATGCATGGGGAGAAGGGCCATGAAGATGACCAAAAGAATGGAAAGCCTGTGGTGTGACTGAAGTTTTGCTTGCTTGCCTGAGGCAAAAGAAGGTGAAAGTAAATACAACTTTTAGGCTAAGACAGTGTTGGCACAACAAATGGATATGAACAAATAAGAAACTAATTTAAGCTGGAAATTAAAAGAAACAGAGACAGGCAAAACCCAAACCTTAACCAGCTTTAAGACGGAGCTTAAAGGATTAGATGATGTGGCTACTTGCAACAGTAAGGAATTAGACTGAGTGACCCCTCCAGCCAGGAATACGAGGGCCTTTCAGAATGTATCTTTCATTGAAGCATCTAGCAGTAAAGGAGACAAACTGCATCCAGCTCAAAACAAGAGATTTAAAATTGAGGTCCATCACACTTCTAGAAATGAAAGTGCTACTGTTGAATTACAGATGTATTTGTGAAACATTTTTTGCCATATCTACAAATCGATTCATCCAGAAAGTATGATTCAGATTTGTTTGGAAACAAATGTCATGTACTTTTATCTAAGACCTTCATGCTTACTATAAAATATTTTATCATATTGTATTACTTAAGATTTCACTGAAAAATGGGTTAGCTGAGGAAGCTAAATATTAATTATATGAGTCAAAATGAATTAATTTAAAGGCATAACCCAGTACATATTTTGACATCTTGAGTGTCTACTCCTTAATCTCAAGCACACAGGGTATACAAAATTTGATTAGTGTTTTTCTCCGGTTTTCAGATGTGTAAAATAAAAGTGAGCTCCAAGACCTTCAGTTTCTATATCATGAGAAAAAGTGATTTTTTTCCAGTTCTAAACAGCAATCTGCATCTGCTGCTTCATACCATTAACAAAATATTGTCAACCAATCCTTGAAAAATTATAGGTTCAGGAAAGAAATCAAATCCTCTTAACTTATTTTGTGTTTTGGAGGCAAACTTAGAACACATATGGCCACTTTTTGGTAAAACAAGAATTTAGTGCACTGGCAGACACTATTTTTGCAGATGTACTCATCAATGAGGAAGGCATTTTTATTTTTAGTACTATGTTTTTATAACATCTTTGCCATGTGCCACAACAAACTTCTGTCTTTGGATTGCTGGTTTTCAGAAGTGAGTCCCTCTAATCCTGGTAATTTCACTGAGGGGTCTCCTGTGTTCTGACCTTTAATACCACATGTATGGGTTAATTTGCTGGATCCAGTCTGAGTGTAGAGAACAGCTATGAGAACAGTTATGCCTACTTGAATCTGAAAAGTCTGGTAGGAAATGTGATCTCATGAGAGTTTTGCTATTTAGGAGTTAAATCTTTCAAGCACAGGCAATACCATTTTGACATTGTTAGTTTTGAACCTGCCATTAAGCTGTTTTACAGTCTTGAATTTCATTAAAAACCCAAAATATCTTCCTTTCTGCAAACTATGTTTCTTCTTATTGAAGAGATCCTTTATTTAACTAGCAATAAATTAAAATTAGAATCAACAGTGCATTAGTTCAAGGGGTTCAGATTAACAGTGTAGAGTAAGGGCCAACAAAATATTAAATTGCTTCATCCCACAATTCAATATAACTCACTTTTCCAGGAAAATGGCAAAAGAAGCTGCAAAACCCAGATTCTCTACTTTCCAACTTGAAGCCCCTAAGGGAATGGCTCGGTTATTTCTCTGATAAATGTCTTACAATAAGCTGATTACATTCCTGTCCAAGTCAACAAAATCATGTTTCTACCTTTATGATGGGTTGGTTGGACTTGACAAAAAGGGAACTAATTCTATGGGGAAATTCAAGCATGAAAGTCTGTATATGGTGTGTCTGACTCCTTTTAAAGGTGTGCTGCATGCAGAAAGAATACTTTCTACAATTTATTCCAGCATGACAAATAATCACTGCAGTTTTGCTCCAATTACCATTGTAAAGAACTGAGGGTGGAAACTCAACAGGGGTCAAAATGTCAGCCTATGTTTTTAGTGAGGCATCTTGCAGCTGTCCTTTTAGTGTTAAAGGGCTGGATCCAAAGATGATCTTGTCACCTGGAGCTCTAAGACTGACATTTTTAGAATTCACATCACACCTGAATACGTTGAAAGACACCTTCACTAGGGCATAACACTGTCTGTTAGCATCTCTACACTCCTGATTGCACTTCCATTAAATAATTTAAAGGTTCTGCAACATTTGCCTTATTATGCAGGCGGTATTTTGGAGGTCTTATAGCAAGTGGCTATGGATACTTGGACTAGGGTTGGATCCCATAATCTATACTGAATCACAGAATCACAGAATGGTAGGAGTTGAAAGGCACCTCTACAGATCATCTAGTCCAACCCCCCTGCCAAAGCAGGGTCACCTAGGGCAGGTTAGACAGGAACACATCCAGGTGGGTTTTGAATATCTCCAGAGAAGGAGAATCCACAACCTTTCTGGGCAGCCTGTTCCAGTGCTGTCACCCTCAAAGTAAAGAAGTTTTTCCTCATGCTCAGGTGGAATTTCCTGAGTTCTAGTTTGTGCCTTTTGCCCCTTGTCCTGTCGCTGGGCACCACTGAAAAGGGTCTGGCCCCATCCTCTTGACACCCACCCTTTAGATACTGATAAGCATTAATGAGATCCCCTCTCAGTCTTCTCTTCTCCAGGCTAAACAGACCCATTTCTCTCATCCTTTCCTCTTAAGGGAGATGCTCCAGTCCCTTGGTCAAATTTGTAGCCCCCCACTGGACTCTCTCAGGTAGTTCCCTGTCTTTCTTGAATCAGGGAGCCCAGAACTGGACACAGTACTCCAGATGCGGCCTCACCAGGGCAGAGTGGAGGGGGAGGATGACCTCCCTCGACCTGCTGGCCACATTCTTCTTAATGCATCCCAGGATACCATTGGCCATCTTGGCCACAAGGGCACACTGATGGCTCATGGTTAACTTGTTCAGCAGAACTCCCACATCCTTCTCAGCAGAGCTGCTTTCCAGCAGGTCAGCCCCTAGCTGTACAGATGCATGGGGTTATTCCTTCCTAGGTGCAGGACCCTACACTTGCCCTTGCTGAATTTCATTATGTTCCTCTCCACACAACTGTCTGGCCTGTCCAGGTCTCACTGAATCGTGGCACAGCCTTCTGGTGTGTCAGCCACTCCTCCCAGTTTTGTGTCATCAGCAAACTCGCTGAGGGTACACTCTGTTCCCTCATCCAGGTCATACGTTATGCATTACTTAAGTCCTGACACAGTACTACAAAACATTTTCTGAAATGCAGAATAAATAATAAAGAAAATTTGGTGATTATTCTGAGGAACAGATATCTGTATATTAAGGTAATATGCTCTGTCCCATTCTCTACAATGAAAATCCAGATTTCTGGGTGAGAGATTTCCTTGACATCTATTGGGATATACTAAGGTCCTCAGCTCTCCTGAAGAATTTTGGAGTTATTCTTGTTCTGCACAATAAGAAAAAAAAAAAAAATATATATATATAAACTTATCTGCAAATAATTCATCTTCTTGAGGCAAAGTGAGTCCAAAAAGTCCATTCTTATTAGACCAAGCTTTAGGACAATTAGTGAACTGAATGCACTGGTACTACTAACATTTCATATAGTTATTACAACAGTAAAGGAGGAACAAAGGAGATCTAATGAATGATTTTGTAAGTGTATATACTTACTAAAGCTTTGATTCACTGTGTGAAAACCCCAAGACTCAAGGGCTGGAAAAGATTAGCAAAATAATTGAAATTCTAAGTCTACTAAAGTGAAGATCTTGACCTGTACAGCCAACAGAACCTCTCTTTCTCAGAATATCATCCTTTCCAAGGAATGGCTTGAGCTCCTTGTTCCTCAGTGTACAATGTTATCTTTAGCTCTGCTTATCACATTTCCATTCTCTCAGTCACTTGTATGTTTATTACATGTTTTCTTTCAAGGTCTCTGGTACCATCAGTTCATCAGTTCATACAATAGGATCAAGGACGGCTCACTAGAGGTCCATCTTCTTTGTTAGTTGCTAGCGTGTGAGATTTGGATATGTTATTCAAGCAGAGTATATAATTGGCTCATAATTAAGCTCTCTTGCAGTAAGATATACTCTTGGTGGATTCACTTATTTAATGGTTGTGTGTACAACAGCATGATGCTTTGTTGGCCAGTCTGGTACTGCAAGTGTCTTATTGAAGTCCCTTCATTCTTTCTAATATCTGATCCCTACCTGATCTTTCTCTTCCTCTTCCAGTGACGCTTCCAAGGACAGTATCACTCCACATAAGGGGCAGGGGAAGACAGGTGGGTGCTGAAAGATGCACGAAGAGGAAGATGAAGTTCCCAAGACATACAATGGGGTGGGGAGCTTGGTGAACATGAGGAGAGAATGCTTATTGTTCATCAGCTCTTCTAAGGCCAACTCGCTAATGAAGGGTTGAATAAGCCCAAGTTGCCAATCCTGTTTGGACTCCCTTTACAACAGGCAAAGACACTTTGCTTCTTTCTACCCTCAAAGGGATCTGACAAAAAAAACCCCACACAACCCAACCTCCCCCAGCTCCCCCCAGCCCACACTCCCTCCCCCCTTCCCCAGTCATATACAACCCTCAAATCTCAACAGTAATCAGTGTGCCTCTGTCTATAACCAGATTATTAGCTTTGCTTTATTATCATCTCTTCACAAGACCTCATGGTGCATAAGCAGTCAGGATGAGAGGCAATTTTAAACAGGCTTCTTCTGAGGCCAAGGGAGTAGGTCAAATGTTGAAGGGATTTCCTTCAAAAGTTACATCAGTATGTTCTTTGACTTGCAGGAAAGGCATGGCAGCTTTGGTAATCAAACTGGTTTTTCAAGCTAAAGGCTGAGGTTAGGAAATGACTGCAACAGAGCTATATAGTGGAAGCTATCTGCTTGCAGAAATTACTAGGATCATTTTTTCAATAATATCGAACTGTTATGAGCAACTCACATTTGGATCCTGAGGAAGAAGCCCCACTTGAGGTGGATCGTGATGCTCCTTTCATGGAGAAAACCCCTTTGCCTCTGCGAGTTGTTGTCACAGCCACACGAGGACGCTTCAGTGGAATCACTGCACGGGGTGGTGGGGGGACACGGCCGTGGTAATCAAACAACCTAAAAAAGATTAAGTCAGCTGGACTCCCTAAAAGCTTCTGTGATTTCATGTCATGGAAGCCCTGTCAACTAAATTTTCATGTTATCTTTGAGAAAATTACCCTTTGAAACCATAATCACTTTATATCACAGTCAAATTAGATTTCAAGGACCTATGCACATTAAGTGCCATATTCAGATTTCAGTCACAGACCAGTGCATACCTCAGATTTTTTGCGTAATTTAAATGAGGGATGCATTATGGGACTCTGTTATTTGCAGTATGGAAATTCCATAACCTCCTTTCCACAGGTCCACATCATTTCACTGCACACAACTAACAGCAGTACATTTTGTTGTGGTGACATTTCAGCTCCTTTATTACATGCATGGCATAAATTATAGTTTTCTATCTGCTATCCTTAAAGATAGAAAAAGAAACAAACTTTAAGCTGACCATTGCTATAAAGCAATATACTGCACTTTGTAAAACAGCAAAAGAATCTTTATAGTGAGGCACCTGTACATCCTTCTGAATGCATAGAAAAGAGGTCCCAGCATATGTTTTCTTTATTGAAGAATCACTAAAATACTCAAGCATGCTTAATAAAAAAAAGTCTTGTTCAAACCAAAACCCCTGTAGCAAGTAGATATTCAGAGAATTACCACTACAGCCAATAAAAGATACTCTACAACCAAAATGAACTAGTGTTCCCAAAGAGAATAACCCAATCCTAAAAACACAGTTATCAATAGCAGCTAACTAACCTGCATAGAAGATAATAAAGGTAGTAGAAAAGGTAATCAAAGCTACAGATATACTTAGGACATAAAAGCTATGGGCTCTGAAAATGACAGGTCTGGAGAAGAAAGTTCAGAAAATGAAGATTACCAGTTCAGAGACTGAAGCAGAGGGACAAGCAATATTCTGACAAAATATTATTAAGTTTCTTTCAAATGATACTTGCAACTAGTAATTATGGAAATTTATAACCGCATGTTTAATTTTCACAATTATGACTACAGTAACCCATCTGGGCAGATAGATCCACATTTGAAAACAGACACACAAGAAACACTAATTCACTCACCACAACGTCTAACATCAGGCTGAACGGGAAGCAAAATCAAACTTAAGACTTCTAGCCCATTTTCTGGCAAGTAAACACCTAATGCTTAGATCCCAGGATCTTTGCTGTTATCTGTACCATAATCCTACAGACAATATAACCAGCTCCCTCCTTTTCCATAGCTGCCTACAGAATGTGTCACAGAGATCCTGTCACCTGCACTGAGCTTGAAGTCCATGGCCTTAGATATTCTTACTGAGTAAGCAGTTTCTAGCCATTGTGAGCATAACTAAACAATTGTGTATGAAGATGAACACTAAAACATTTTTGAAACTTTTAGCAGAAATATTATTGTTTGTTGTCACTCATCATTTATCATATGGGATGATCTGCAGGTTGGTCACAATCTCCCATTTGACACTACTGGAAAAAAAAAATGTTTCAGAAGAACTGTAAGCTATCACACAAAAGATCATTATGCAATTATTCCTCCAAAGGTGATTTTTTTTCTAGCTTCCAATAGGTCATGTTTAGATAATGTATTCAAATGCAAAACTATGCTTCCTTTTTTGAAATATATAAAAGGACTCTTATCCAATATTACTATACTTATTTTTATTTTTGAAATTATGCAAAGCTTTTGGGCTTGGTATTTTGTTACACCAAGTTCTACATATTTCAATGATATGCTTTCTTTAAAAAAATGCTTCCTTTTATCAGCTTTGAAGTACCCTGCCTGTTTTCTTTGTGCTTGTAATACGAGAAATTATAAACAGAAATGCTTAGTTCTAAAGCAGTTCTTTGTCCAAATAACTGCTAATGTGCACATAACAGTGCCTTTTCTTTCACTCACCCTTCTATATCATGCAGTCTTGATCTTGTCAATCTGTCTTCATACAGATTTTATTTTACAGCACTAACAATTTTTGCCGCCCTTTTCTGACCTCACCACTGCTTTAGTCAGGGTAAGATAGGCGTATTCTCCCTTCAGGGAGGTTGGAAAATTAATGAATATTAAAACCTAAAATCTATGTTTTGGAATAAAACACAGAAATTCAGAAATTTTAGAAGTTTAGAAGTTCAGAAGTTCAGAAATTCAAAGAATCATGACCATATTTCTTAATTTATATTTCCTATAGCTATATTGATAATGTATCAAACTCACTATTGGATTTTCTTTTACATGCCTACCATATAGAGCTTTTAATCTTCTGCTTCCATTAACTTGGATCTAACAGAGTCTCTTAACCTCTTGAAGTTTCTGTTGTCAACAAATCAACATGTCCAGCCTTGTGAGGCCAACCTCATATTTGGGTTTTCTACCATAAATGTTCTGCTGTCTTAATTCTGAAAGATTTCTAAATCAGAAAATTATACTATTGAATACATTTACAGACCCATTTCACTGTTGGCAGTTTTCCATAATATGCCAACCACCAAGATAGACACTAAGTTCCACAGAAACAACATTTAATGTCCCATAAGTATTTCTTTTGTTGTGGAAATATAACCGTTATAGTTGTTCATTTGCACTACTCATAACATACAGAAATAGGGAAAAAAGTAAAGACACATAACTTTAATATTCAGAGGGGCATAGATCAGAAACAGTACTCTGTTTAAAAACATACAAATCCGTTGATGAAATTTGGAGCAGTAACCTTGGGGAAAGTAAACACAGGCCTATGGAAGTTAACTTTTTACAGGACATGAGCTGCTCCTACTGTCAAGGCTGGACTGAGCAGGATTAAACTGCACTCATGGCTTTTACTCCATATGTTTATAGCTCAGTAGTTTTAGCTCTGTTCAAAGTTAGCATGGTCATTTACATGCAAAACTAAAAACTAGTGGCTCAAATTGAATCAACCCCATGAAAAAAACAAAACCCAAACCCATTCTTTCTACATTTTTCCTGCAATGTAGCAGAAGGGTACATGGCACACAGCAACTTAACTTCAGGGTGTAAACTGCTCCCCTGCTATTGTCCATTGCTTTACATAAAGGAAACCTCAGATTATAAGAGGTTGGTGGAGCACTGCTTTGTTCCCCTCTGACTCACTTGGCCCATGCTAAATCAGGCAGCTGTAATGCAGAGACACAACACTGCTGGACCCCCGTTGGAATTGGTTATCCGTGGTCTTCCATGTTAACCATGTATTGTGGTGGTTTCGCTATGTCTGAATAAATAAATTCCCACAGTGCTGAGCTAGGCTGTGTGTACGTACTCAAGGCACAAGTCTCCCATTGCTCACATATCCACACTTCTTTTCCTCCTATAGAAAAACACATACTGTTCAACTTGTGTTTTTCTTCCCTCAAGGTTCTTCTAGACTTCTAAATGTTCTTGGAATACACATTTTTCAGAAGACATTCTATATCTTTTCATACATATGAATGAAAAGACAAAGTCATGAGTGTCATACTGAAGAATTTTACAGCTGCTAATGTTCCAGTAAAAGTAAGCCTGGAAGAACTCTGTTGGAAGAAACACTGAACAATTAAACTACCATTAAACTGTTCAGCACAGAAAATGCCGCAAAAGCTTTTATAGAAGGATAAGACCAAATGAGCTGTTTAATGAGCATAGATTTGGTGGTGGTAATCTTCTCTGTGGTATATTCAAATAGTATTCTTCTGATACACAATAGAAATAATGAAACAAATAACATGGAAAATCAGAACAGACCTGTCTAACCAAATGATATGATTACATTATAAACAGACAGTAGAAATGGTATAGGAAGTACAAAAATATAACCACACATACCGATTGTAGAAATCATCTCTGTAGTAATCATAATCAAAGACATAACCACTGTGGAAAAACACAGAAAAACAAGAATAAACTGGTTTATAGAAAAACACACATTGATTAAAACTTCTGTGGTAATATTATCTTACTCTGACATTCCAAGCCCTCCTTCAAAGTCCTTCCACTTCTTTTCCACAACCATACCCTGTACATGATGCTTGTCAGTGCTGTTGTCAGCTGTCACTGTAGTATATTTGGAAATGTGAAGTCTGGGGCATGCAGAACAGTGTAAACAGTTGACAGCACATATAGAATCAATTTAACACAGTGCGACAGCTCTGTAATTAGAGCATCATTATAGTGTAATTCTCTGAGTGATCAAATGAAGTGAGCACTCTAATACTGAATCCCTCTTCTTTGCTGGGCTAACAGCATAATCAGTGGACTAGGAAGACTTAAATACATGAAAGATTGGTAAATGAGTGAGTAAGGTGAGCAGAGATAAGGCACTGAATTTGATTTATGAGAAACATGAAAAGGGTTGGATTGTTGGTCCTTGAGTTCACCAAATCTTCTTTCATCATAAAGAGAAAAGGAAAAAAGTTAGGAAAATGAATGATGCAAGCAATAGTGTTACAGAGATTCCTTTCCTTTCAAGTTCAGAAGGAAATATACATACTAATCTGGGGAAAGACAGGCACCATCAAGGGAAACAAATACAGGTAGGATATTGCAAAGGTCCAGGGGAAAACTATTTTTGAGCTGTCAATTGCAAAGTCAATCTTAGATTGATTTTCCTAGTTTTGCATGCCGTTAGCAACTTTCTACCTTTATGGTGAAGCAATAGCAATGAAGTCTATCTATCTCACACATCTGGAAAAACAGAACCAAAGAGGTAATAAATGGTCTGCACAGAAAGGTCACAAGGGATTTGTACTCTGACTGATGAAGAACTAGTAACACAACCCCTAAGTTTTTCAGTTGCCTGAGAAGGACAATTATGAATAGTAAAGGATGAGCGACATGAAAAAAGTATCACAAAAAAGGAGAAGTTTTAAATAAGAAAGCAGAAAGGTAGAAAGGAGAGAGAAAGGACAAAGCACAGTAGAAAACATTCTCTGAAAATAAAGGGAGATGAATGATGGTAATCACATATTAATGAAGTTTGTTTTCACAGGGAACAGACTTGTGGATAATTTCTGCTATTGAACATTGAACATTGTAAATGTCTTCAATTTTTTTTTTTAGTGCATAATTTGAAGAATGGGTCAAGAATTCTGGAGTTCTTTGTGTTTCTTTTTCCTCATCACATAATGCCTCTTTCCCCTTTTCCTCCCTTTCCTATGTTTCAGAGGTTGACCACTTAAAAAGGGCAAAAAATAGAGTTGGCAGGCTTAAATTACCTCAGTAATAATTTTATGCCAGTGTTTTGATTTTGAAGGCTTGCAATTTCGCCTGTCTGCAACTGGCAAAAACATCCATCAAAGGAGCAGGAGGTCAGAGGACAATTTCAGCTCTGCCACATCTGCCTTGATGCAAGTGCCCAAGTGCAAATGATAGGATAAGTTGTACTGTCTACCCACATAATACTGGACTGGCGGTGAAGACCATGAGACTCACCAGGTAAGAAAGCTGACTGTAGTCCTGTCAGTAATTTATTTGAGAAAAGAAAGCTCTATATGCATTTTATGTGAAATAAGCATTAAATAAAACAGCCCTGAGAGACTGGAACCCAGAAGCAGGTAAGCTGGGTGTGACAGAGGAAGCAAAATAACATTAAGTAATAATAGTTAAAACTCGTATAGTAATCGTGTTTCTGTATCTTACCTTAAGACAAAACTAAGAAAATTTTCCCTAAACTATGCGACAGCTCTTATTTTGTCATTCACTCTATAGCCAGTCCACATGGAACTAAAAGGTAGCAGGTACCAACCCTATTATTTTATTTACAGCTATTCACAGTTTGCTAGCGGTTTTGTTTAGTTGAATGATTAATAGCTGCAATAAGCCCATATTTAATATTCAGTTTGTGTTTTTAAGTAGAAGATAACAGACAATTTGAAGAAAAAAGATTAAATTTAAAAGGCCTGTCACATGAAACCTTTCATCTGGAGTGACATTAATTTAGTTTGCATGAAGACTAGATAAATTCAGTTTTTCAATGTTGAAGACCATGACAATGATGAAAAAGAATTCATTTTGCACCAGCCACAGTAAGGCTGAAGGGCGGCTACATCTTTCTGTGACAACTTGACTCTGGCCCATAGGATGGAAGAAGGACTGCTGGCCTTTCATTGGGCTTTCAGAGTGTGGAACTTACTTTTCATATACAAATGCCGTGACAGAGATGGCTCAAAGCCATCCCAGGAATGGGGGCACTGATGTGTCGCAGGAGGGAGAGAGGTCTCAGGCAGACATCTGAGTGCACTAGGGAAAAACGTCAGTAGGCTTGAGAGAGGATTGAGAGGTTGGGAAAGGCTCACAGGTTGCTCAGATGAAGGTAGCTTCAGGCAGCGCAGGTTTTGGGTAGGGAAAATACAGGAAAGGGTTTCTGATGTGGCAACCAATTGTTTCTCTCCTTCCCTACCTTCTGCTCTCACTCTGTCACTGTACCACTGAGGAGGTCCTGTCACACAGCATTCTTCACACAGAATATTTTTATATTGTTGAAAAATGTGGCTTGTAATTTTTTTTTTATTTATTTTCTAATTTAGTGTAACATCTGTGATAATACTTCTCTTTTGAGAGGAGCAGTTTTGCACATCAGTCAGACCCTAAGAATTTCATTCTTTGGTCTGTTCCCATTAAGGTAACTTCTGTCTTGAAACTGAACTCAGTTCTTTATGTTCCTTCAGCTTTGCAAGTGACAGTTTCAACCAACATGGGATCAGAGCAGGAAAAAGTAGAAGCACATTTTGGAGTCTGGTTATCAGATGGCAGTGTAATCTATGAATTCTTGTACATTCTTATAGGGTGCTTATACTACCTTTTAAAAATATTTCCTTGCTTCAGAAGCATATGATACTGTTATCATGTCTTTAATTGTCACCCGGAGAAACCTCAGCAGTTTTCATATAGTGTTTTACAGCTGAAGCTATCTAAACAGCTCTGCTACAGACGTTGCCTCTAACCTTAAAGTTAAGGTGCTTTGCATTTTTGCATAGTTTAGTTCAGTAGCATCCATTGCTACTGAGATAAAAGGTAACTGCAGGTATTCTGTATGTTGCATGACATTCACTCTCTGAAATGGGAATACACTTGGCTTTAGCTGCAGCAAACATCCACCAATTTTTCCTTCTTATCTTTCTGCCAAAAGGTTATTGACCCCATGTCTGCCATACGAGATGCGAACATATTGTGTCTTTTCACAGTGCAGCTTGCTAGCACAATTGACAATCTACCAGGAGTTGATTTCCTTACATTTCTACTCTGAATTTATTGTAAGTGAAATCTTCTTCACAATTCAAAGGCATATCTGCTAATTAAGTCCCACGTCCCATGATACAGGTGCTGGGGACCCCAGCAGGAGGTGGGGAGGGAATCTTTGCTTTCCCCACAGACTATTTGGGATCTCTCTGCACTGGCAAAAGGCATTTCTGTGTGAAAGCACCATTCATATGGAGCAGGAAAATGCCAGTTCTGCACATAGAGGGACTCCTTGCCTGGGACCACTGGCAAAGATTTGTCAACAGCTACTTCACTTTCAAGGTGGGAATAGCACCCAGAGATGTTAGAGGTGCATAGGCTACTATGAGCTGCAACAGACCACGGGGCTCAATTCTTTTTTCATTTCCCGTTACTTAGTCTCCTTTAAGAAAGGTGACTAATTCAGGTGTGGGTGATGGAGGAAAGACTTTCATCCTTCCATGATACTTATATAAATAGGGGAATGGCATTAGCACTGTAAGACCTAATCTGTTGATCCTTATGGAATAAGACAGGTAAAGGATGATGGGTTTAAAGCTCTGGGAAATCTTGATGCGTATCCTTCTTTATATTCATCACTTGGGTCTCTTTTTCCCTCTCTGAAATTCTGCTTACAGCTGTGGCAGCACAGAGGCAACATAATATAACTGCTGGGGTTGTGTCCACTGTGACTGCTGAATTAACATCCCAAGGACACAAGACATCATGTGAGACCCTTAGAGGTTTGGGTTTTTATAAAAGCAGTTCCAAGTCCTCTTGGCTGTGAAACTGCTGTCCTGCATGTGTACTGAAAAGGCAGTGAACCACCACCAACAAAAAGAATCCAAAATGAATGATCTAAGAGAAAAAAATCTCTTCTGTTTCTCCAATTGTTCTCATTTGGCTATTTTTTTCTTTTTCATTCCTTTTTCTTTTTTTTTTTTAAAAAAAAAGTTGAATTATGATGTTCCATTTGTAATAATATGTTAAAGAGATTATACTGTGAAAGTGACCAGTACATCTCTCCATCTACAGCCATAATTGTTCACACTTATGCATGCCAAGGGACAGACATAAGCTTTGGTCAGTGCTGCAGTTTAAAACACGAAGCAGAAAATTAGCACAGATAATCACTGGCACTGAGATCAAGGTGACTGTAGGGCTCTTAACCTCTTGAGAGTTATTCCTTAGCAACCCACCAACCTGTGTTACGGAGGCTGCAGGAAATCACTCGCACGGTGTTGAATAACAAATACTCAGCAAGTCGGAAGCAGAGAAAGGTTTAAACGAGCCTGTGAACCGGTGGAGTCAGCGGTTTCCTAATGGCATTGTAAACAGGCAGATTACTTACCCACAAACATATGCCTTCTCTGCAATATTATCAACAGAACTGTGTGCATGGTGTTGCTATTAAAACAGAAGACAGTAAAAGACACTCTCATGCCTCACACTGAGGCAAAGAAAACTCATCAATAAAGTGTGCTTCTGTTAAGCAAAAGTCATGGTTCCTTTTCCTGACCTAGTATCAGCAAGACAATCTTGTATAAGCTGTCTCTTTTAGCTTCACTTCACTTAACACTAAGCCCGCTTTAAATTGTGTATGCCTGAAGAATAAAGGATTCCCCAAAGACTGTATTTTCAGAGTTATAATACTGCGT